AACATATTTAATTTGAACAATACAAAAGGAATTGGACACAAGTTATTACAACTCCTTTTGATTTTTTCAAATAAAATATGTTTGAACTAAGTGCAAGCTGGTGAATGAGGGGAAGTTGGCACTGAAGAGGGATTGCATATGCTTCCCTGAAGAGTTCCTCTATCAGCAAGTACATCGGGACTGCTCCTCTGGTGTTCACTTTGCTGAGCAATCTCTTGTGCCAGTCCTCCACATCGCTGTTCGATCTAATGGATCTTATGTAAACTGACCAAGTCCTGATGGGGAATGTCCTGGAATATATATAAACTTTCAACAGTTGTATTTTCTTTTTTTAATTGAAAATATGGAGTTTCAATGTTGTTTTGTTATAGTTTCTAATCCTAACTTCTCTAACAGCAAACTGCCAGTTGCTTGAATCAATGATCTGTCATTGTAAGAACAATACAATGTTTCATACAATATACCTTAAGTTATTGTTTTGAAACCTACCTGCTTCTGATCCAAGTCCCCCAATATAGTCCGTCAGCTGAACCAAGGATGCCGATGCCGCACGGTCTGATAGATGATAAAAGGTCTCGGTGATCTGCTCTGCTGGCAGGAAGAGTAACGAGAGAGCCTGGCGCAGATATGCATAAACATTCCCTCTCGCGTTGTAGGCGCTCTGAAAGTTAATATTTATTGTGAAACTGAACATTATAAAGTTTGTAAAGTTGTACATTTAATGGGTTTTTTTTTTATATATTATGTATATATAAAATGTTATAAGCTACTGATTGGATATCAATATTTTCACAATATTTTTGCTTTGTAATGAAACGGCAATTTACAATTGCATTTATACATATACGAATTCCATTACTGTATTTATAATATGTTATGGACATCATGGAAATAAATACCTGTAAAACAAGCTCTTGGACTTTCCTGAACACCGCCCATGTCCAATTAAAATCATATCCCCTGATGTTGGTGTCTGGGTACCTCTGGCAGATGGCTTGCCAAACAGCAGTTTTAAAATCCACTACACACATTTCCAAGCTGATTCGTTCTTGCAGCTGATGGTCGATGTTTCTAAGAAGCTATAAAAACAAAATTTGTGCATAATTATAATCAATTTACCATTTGATTTACTATAATACTTTTATAAGTTACACAGTATATTACTACTTTGTCATTCTATTCTATTCTTTATTAACTTTAAGCTTTCCAGCTCATCAGTGTACATGTAACAATATAAATACATTGGCAGACACTGCAAAACGCAGTGGAGAATGGACAAAAGATTTGAACACATTTAAATGTCATTATATCATAGTCAATTTAGTGGCATCATATATATATTACACTGGTGTTTTTTTTTAAACTAAATCAACTAGTCATTTGATATATTAAATGACTAGAATGTCGGTTAGTTCAAATAAAAAATAATTTGAACTTGAATAATTACCTCATAATCATCCCGAGTACGCTTTCCAGACATAAAACAGAGCACCAAAGGTATCTGTTTCATGCTGGAACCTGAGCGGACAAAACCATGGATGATAAAGATCTTGGTAAAAGCTTCATGTACATCACGGAAGGTGGCATCAATATACCAAGTATTGGTCTTGACGAGGAGGTCGAGTTGTCTGTCAGATAAGATGGCGCTTACCGTCGACTGTGATGTCCCGCAAAAAGAAGTTGGACGCAGTGGACTCCAACACGTCTCTGTCAACCTGTAAAAACAGCTCTTCATATAAATAGGAGAACATGAAATAGTGTATTATACATTCAGATTATATTATTCATTTGTTTTCCAAGTTTTAACTATAACCAATTGACTAGTCAGCGAAATTATCCGGGCCCAACTTTGCAAAAGATATAATCAACACAAACTAAGGAGCGGCTACTTAACAAGGAGGGCCGCGGTGGTCAAGTGGTTAAGGCGTCTGACAGTCTGCTACCACTAGCCCTCCACCACTGGGTCGCGGGGGCCAAGTGGTTAGGGCGTCTGACAGTCTGCTACCCCTAGCCCTCCACCACTGGGTCGCGGTGGCCAAGGGGTTAAGGCGTCTGACAGTCTGCTGCCACTAGGCCTCCACCACTGGGTCGCGGGGGCCAAGTGGTTAAGGCGTCTGACATTCTGCTACCACTAGCCCTCCACCTCTGGGCCGCGGTGGCCAGTTGGGTAAGGCGTCTGACAGTCTGCTCCAACTAGCTCTCCACCACTGGGTCGTGGGCCAAGTTGTTAAGGCGTCTGACAGTCTGCTCCCACTAGCCCCCACCACTGGGTAGCGGTGGCCAAGTGGTTAAGGCGTCTGACAGTCTGCTACCACTAGCTCTCCACCACTGGGTCGTAGGCCAAGTTGTTAAGGCGTCTGACAGTCTGCTGCCACTAGCCCTCCACCACTGGGTCGCGGGTTCGAGACCTGCGTGGAGCAGTCGCCAGGTAGTGGCCTCTGTAGGTCGGTGGTGTTTTTCCGGGAACTCCAGCTTTCCTCCATCAACAAATTCTGGCACGTTCTTAAATGACCATAGCTGTTAATAGGACGTAAACACGCAAACAAACCAAACCAAAATTACAAGGATAATTGAATTACAATACTGGCATACCTCGAAATCAAGATATTGAGAGTCATTTGGCCGCATGGTCTGGTGCATCCTGTTGATGGATTTGACGATATTCTGTGTGTTTGATCGGCTGTGTTCGGTCTGGTGGATGATGGCGTGACATTCAAATACCTCTGATGCATTTTTGTGGGCGGAGTTGGTGAAACTTTTCTCTTTGGCTCGGGATAGGGCTTGGAGTGAAGAACATGAAATACCAAGATCCGGCCAGTGTCTATTTGATTCCTTTATCTCACCCTGTAAACTCAGTCTTCCATATCCGAGATGTTCAAGACGGAAAGATAGTAAAGGTTGAAACTCCGCATTATTTCATAAAACATTTTTTCTAGACAATGCTCCTCTAATCATTCTTCCCTTTTTGCTGGACCAAACGAGGCAAGGCCTCTCGGTGTCACTTGTATGCTGTCCACTACAATGTTCTGGGGAGGCTACTCCAAACAATCCGAGGTCCTTTGCCAGCCTGATGGTAACAGCTTTCCCCTGTCCATAGTATGCCTCAGCATAGCCTGTCCATTCAAATGAGGCACCAGTACCTCCATTTGCGTATAGCTGCCTATACGCTGGTACGTAGGTGATTCCAACAAAGTCAGGGTCACGATTCGGCCCCAACTTCATTTTTCTTCTTCTTTTTTTCGCCATATGTAGGTACATATAAATTCATTATAAGGACTGATAAACATAGTGGACAGATACATGTCACAGGCGAATATTTTTTCGCAAATAAATTATGAAAGTGTATAGCGTATACAATTACTGTTATTTTGATACTAAATATGTCATATTAGTATACCTGAAATAAGCGTAGTGATACTCTCAGTAAGACGACCGGGGTTCGATTATGGTTACTCCTATTTCCTCCTATGTTTAGACCCTCTGCGCGCTTCTATCCGGGGCAACAAGAGTGCTATAACTTTCCAGATATATATTATGTCTACAGAATTATTTTTTCTGTGATATCAGAACCGGCAGCAGTGATAACTCATAAATATGTATTCTACAAAATTATTCTTTCCTCTGGAAAACTACTTAAGGTTGAGATTGTGTCATAGAAAACGCTATGCAGATATATAAAACAATAGAACAATCTAAATACTCAATCTGATATACATTTGATTATTATTTGATTGTGTCTAGGCTTTGAACATTCATTTAACAAAATATGAAGGAATATTACATTATATTATATCTTTAACTCTAAACAATCAAAAATCAAAAATCAAAAAAAGAATTAAAAAAAAATCTAAACATTTAAAGCAAAGAAGGATATCCTTGTCTGACACGTTTTAGAACTATGTTATCTCATTAAATGAAACTTCACATACCTTTCTGCTTAAATCTACAATAAAAAGAACAATTCTTTCTTAAAATAGTGTACTATTTGGTATCAAAATAATAGTTGAAATATGTTGCACACAATAATGAAATAATTGTATAGTACTTGTATCATTTGAACGCTCTAGGACGACTTGTAATGCCGCACCTTTAACACCCACACAGGTTTATGTCAATGCGGTCCTATTTGACCTATACCTTCTTGTTTTTATCTTGTTTTGAAATTCCAAGCGGGGGCCGACGCTAATGTTAAATATACATAGGCTTTGGCCTTACCTTTTCAACAACAACAAAACACCTACTGCTTGTGGCATGTTGAATGCGTCTTCAAAAAGGTTTGTGTGCTGATATAAAAAATACAAATAAAAACAAATATTTGATTGTAGAACGTCTCAACTTTGTGCGATTTACCCTCTAGAAAATGATAATGAAACAGAACAATATTAAAATTAGTATTTTCATTTTTCCGCCAGGGTGGGGGCTTTTGGTCCCCCTGGTCCCCCTACCAAGGCTCACCACTGTGCACGCTCCTAAATGAATCCAATCCAAGCAAGGGTTTACGTTCGATAACGGCTTGTTATTTAACACAACAAGAATGTTGGGACAATAGAAATATTCGAAGATGCTATTCACCACCAACGACAGTCCAGAACTCTTGGGGGCATATATATTCCCCACTCATTTTCAGTTTTCTGAAAAACATGTATCGGGATAGGGTGCTGGAGCCGACGTATCTATTTGTCTTAATTTGGCATAATTTGATCACTGGCATTTGAATCAGACATGTATTTGTGTTATTTATCGGCCAAAAAAACAACATAGCAGAGTATTTCCTATTTCTGGTTTATTTTGTCTGCATGCTCAACACGAATGTATAATTTTATTTATGTGATACACAAAGTAATTTATTGACAAAACTGGATTAAAGAAAACAATTTGGGGCTTTAGATACATTCAACATGTTTTAGTATTATAAATATCAGGGATGAATATTATCTATTTGCTACCCGGACTTTGATAAGCCGTGCCTGTCTGATAAAAGACCACTGCGAGAGGAGGTCCTGACGCACGTGATAACCGATCATCAGCCAGGTTGCCTATGTCGTCATTTTCACTTTTGTGTCTAACCCCGGTCATGTGACAGTGTATGGTGATGACTTGACCACAGATAATTCAGGTACGTAAAATGGATATACTACAGCACTAGGTACGTACACTATATGTTTACCATATAGAGTCATTTCAGTTCTGATGTTTACCAATAGGTAACTATTTAAAATTAAAACGACTGAGTTAAAGGTAGATCGCCGCTGTCTGACGTTGTGTTTATCTACTTCTTGTGTAAACGAATGTGTATAAATAGCTTCATATATATACATACATATGTTAAATATGGACTGATTTAAATGTTGTCTTCTATATAATATGTCAAACTGTAATAATAAATATCTTATATACATTTCTTATTCAATTATTTAGATGCTTACCGAATGATCCATCTAGGAATGGTCTGCAGCAATTGTCGCTTGCAATGTTATAAGCATTATATAAATATAAATATAGGGCTGGTGGCTTCTAGTGAAATGTCAGATGTTGTTATTTATATATCTCTGTCTTAAGTTATCAGATGAGGTATCTTACTTTAATGTTATACGTATATCGGACAGTGGTTTTCGAGTGAAAAGGTCTCTTGCAATTCTATAAATGTTTTCTGATTGTTTTTGTCAGCCAGGGGAAAATGTCGCAAACAATTATACTTATTTATTAATGAAAAAGAAGTCTTCCTTTGGACACGTCTTTCGTAATTATATAAATATTTCTTTTTTTATCAAAGAGAGGTCTTCTTTTGGAAACATCTTTCGTAATTATATAAATATCTCTTTTTTATCAAAGTTAGGTCTTCTTTTGGACATATCTTTCGTAATTATATAAATATCTCTTTTTTATCAAAGAGAGGTCTTCTTGTGGACATATCTTTCGCAATTATATAAATATCTCTTTTTTATTTATCAAAGAGAGGTCTTCTTGTGGACATGTCTTTAGTAATTATATAAATATGTATTTATAAATTTATCAGGCAGAGGTCTCATAGTGTAAATCCCTGCATTATTCTATAACTATCTCCTTATATCTTTTTCACTCAGTGATCATTTAGTAAAAGTAACTGATGTCATTGTATACATATCTTATTAATTATTTATCAGACAGGGATTTTCCAGTAAAAATGTCTGATGTCATTATATAATAATTATTATACCTTTACAAGGTAGAGATTTTCAAATGAAAATATCTTCCGTTTAATTATCACATAACTAATTATTTAATCTAAGAAATAATCTAAATGAAATTATTTGTAGAACCTTATAACCTTGTTATAAATGCGTTAGTTCATATATTAGATTTTAATGCGGATTAGAATATATATGTTTAGAATTATAAATTTCAAAAATTAGTTCGTTTTACTAGACCAGAGACGTATATAACACATGGCTTTATACGTCTCTGACTAGACCCTGTTTTCAAAGAATATTTAGAAATCACCATAGCACGTAGGCAGTCATATAATTAATCAAATGTCTTACATCAATATCCTAGTCTGTAAATGGTAAACTGACTACATAAAGAGATTGGTTGGTTGATTGTACAATGTGGGTAAACTGACATTTTTTTTTTTTGATAATGACCAATCATAAGTCTAAACGGGATATTGCCCAATAATAAATTCTGTACAAATATTAATGCCTGTATTAATTCTCATTTCAATTGTGATTATTTAGCCCTGTCCAGTTACCAAGGAGATGCCACAGCCCCGACCAAAGTCACACGCTCGTGACGTAAAGATCGCGGTGATCGGAAATAACACCGTGGGAAAAACGTCATTATCTATGCGCTACATCTACGGGGACTTTCATCCGGGCTACTTCCACACCAGAGGTACCGACATCCGGTCACAAGAAACCAACAACTCTTTTTCATCACGGCATTTAATATAGAAAACAATACAATTTTGCAATTTTTGAAAACTACATTGATCGAGTGATCGTTTTTAGTTGATTAATTTTGATTGATTTTTTTTTTGTATTTGCTGTGTATTTATTAATTTATCTATCTATTCATTGACGGAATTAGTTATTTTTCGTGTTCAGTTATAATTTCAAAAACAGAATAAAAACTAAAAGTTGAATATGGAGTGAGATACAATGACCTATACAAGGTGAAAATTTGTAGTCGAATGTAGAATGATGCACAATTGCATCAAATAGAAACATCATACAAAATGACATATAATCTAGTCATCTGGAATGAGCAACCAATCAGGATAACTTATCACGGAAATATATATAAGGAACACTTATATCTTGGAAAATCATTAAGACTATGTTGCACGATGCATACTACTGGTGATGTAGCATACTACTGGTGATGTAGCATACTACTAGTGACCCCCACATATCATTGCTCCTTGCGAGTTGATGAAGACTATGGGCAACTTTCACGACCACCATCATTATTCCATTGGAAAATAAGCTATTCCTTTTTGTTTTGTTTGATGAAGTTCGATTTTTTTCATTAGTCTCATACGTGTGCTTTGTTGTTTCGTTGTCATTACCCCGGTTCAAGCTATGAGGACGTCACTTAAATTTGACCCAGATTTTAATGGCGGGTGTCGTCAACGAAGCAAAGGATGCCTACCATGACGGAGTATCTGGTCTTATTCTCCTTGCAAATGTTCAATGGTCGCAATGTAAATATCTCCTTTGTTTCCACCAGTTTAATCGATGTTTAGTTCGAATTGTTGTTCTGTTTACACTTTGGTTTATTGTAGGTTGTGTTCCACACGCTATGTGCTGTGTAGTGTTGTCTAATAACTGTTTTTGTTGTAGGCGGCGATATTTATCTGAAGCAAATAAAAGTCCTTGATCAACTTGTGAATCTCAAACTTATGTAAGTGGTGATCACACAATATAATTTGAAGATCGAGTTAATATAACAGTATACATACATTACCATGATAATAGGAAATTGTAAATAACTTTTCACGCGATCTTTAATTTTCGCGAATTTGATAAAATTGACATTTTCGCGGTATCTATTTTTTCATGGATTTGCTGTCTAGTGCCCATGACACATAGTGTTGCAGTAAGGATGGATGACATTCCTTCTAATTTTGCTGAAAATGGGTAACTCGCGAAAAAAAGCATTTAAAAAACAAGCATCTAGATTATTAAATCACAAAGTTGTGTAACAAAAGGAAACCATTATATTTAAATTTTATTATCTTTATGTTTGTTGATATTTTGACTACAGAGATACAGCTGGCCACGCGTACCAGAGAAGCCTGATTGGACCACTCTACAAAGACGCTGATGTGAGTAAAGACACTATCCTTACTGACCTAGCAACCTGTCGTTAGAAAATTTATAATCTTATGTGACCTCACAGCTCAGCAGAATGTGGACGATGTCTACTCTGGTCAAAACAAAATAAAGATATGTACCCGATCCTCCTACTTACACGGAAAAAAACTTCCCTGTCTAAATATCTTTTTAGTCAAAACTAAGAAATTAGATTTAATTAAATCCATTTAGAAGAATCGATTCATTCAGATTCATTGAAGTTCATTCCAAGGTGATGTATAGTGCTATTACATGGTTACATGTTTATCAAAACGTATATTGAAATAAGTACACCCCTCTTCAAAACCAAGATATTTTCATTCACAAAACATGTTTCATTTTAGTTTATATTTCCATGAATTCAAACTTCTCAGGGTGTCATCATCCAGTATGACGTCACAAATGAAAAGACCTTTAATGCTTTGGCAGACTGGATCATCGCAGCTCGGGTAAATATTCTATCTTATTACATTGTTTTCCATTGAAACATCTAAATATATTAACTCGATTAAAATATTTGTCTTTCACACTGTGAAAATTGACCATTCAGAATGGCATTTTCTTTTTATTTTATTCAAAGCATCAGATTTTCTGTTCAGACTCCGACGAAGCGAATGAAGGAAAAGGGGTTGTTTTGATACATCTTTGTAAGCAAATCTCACCGCATGATATCAGAAAACGGTAGAACTGCGTTGAGCAACCCATTCAAAATGGCGCGCAGCCTTGTTGTCAAACATGAAGTCATTGCAACCTGACGCCAAAAATGACGGTTTTGTTCGTCGTTGTAAAAGAAGACTGAATTAAATTTTGTTTTAGAAAATCTGATGGTTTTACAGTTGAATACCATATATATTTCACTTTTATGACAAACTTATATTCTCACTTGTGCTTCGCAACAATATTGCTATCCTGCCATAATTCATCCTCGATATCCATGGGTTACGTTCACTTTTGCTCTCTACGTCCCTGGAATATGTCATAGCAAAATCGAAGGCTCGGTGTGCGCCATCTCGTTGATGAGACAAGAAGACTAGTTCGATCCTTTGATTTACATCAAAAGAATATCGCGGTCACGTAACGGTAAAAATTGACAGGCTTTAAAGTCGGGCGTCTCTCCTTTGTAATCTTCAAAGGACAGGTATCAGTCTACCGATCGGTCAGGTTTATTTACCTGAGACCAATCAAACAGCTATCTTCGTGCCTTCAATTTTGCTATGACATATTCCAGGGGTGTAAAGAGCGAAAGTGAGCGTAACCCGTGGATATCGAGGATGGCCATTATTGTGACACATATGTGATAGTAAACGGGAAATCATTAAATTTCCACTATAATGTATATTTACTTGATTAATGAGAAGCAAAAAGTTGGACTCCTTTCGTTCTAAAGTTATAATTTCGACAAAAGTGATCTTAGACAAAGAGATATTTTATGTTTCATTTATTTAAAGATTTATGCCAGGTCCACATCAAGTGTCGTCAGCAAAACTTAGTTTTGTCATTCACTAATTTGAAAGACTCCAGTATCCGTAAAAAACATTTGGAATTGATATCGTTTGAAATAAACACCAATATGAATTGCTAAGATAAAGGTTAACTCATTCGAATGGCACATTCTTGATTTCATATCGTATTAAAGTTTGTGAATAAGTCCCTCGTCCCAAAGCCTTTTAACTCGTTGGTACCGGGTTGGTATGGTGTTTTGCAGGATCAAAAATGTCGAGAGGTAGTGCTGGTAGGTAACAAAATGGACCTATGTCAGAGCGATCAACAGGAGCAGGTGACGAAGGACCTCAATCTGGTGAGTATCTAACCATAATTAGAGAGGTGGCGAGGTCGTCTCAAAATGGTAGGTCTCTTACCATTATTAGAGAGGTGGTTAGGTCGTCTCAAACTGGTAGGTGTCTAACCATTAGAGAGGTGGCGAGGTCGACTCAAAATGGTAGGTGTATAACCGTTATTAGAGAGGTGGCGAGGTCGTCTCAAAATGGTAGGTGTCTAACCATTATTAGAGAGGTGGCGAGGTCGTCTCAAAATGGTAGGTGTCTAACCATTATTAGAGAGGTGGCGAGGTCGTCTCAAAATGGTAGGTGTCTAACCTGGCAAGGTCGTCTCAAACTTGAAGGTGTCTAACCATGAAAGATGACGTGAGCGGTGTCGATTGGGCTCAAACTATTCAATACATAACTATTCCGTCTTTTCGTATTGCAGATTTATCTGCTATTGTAAGCAGGTATTGATTGTTACGTCATTTGTTTGTGAGAGTAACGTCATGAATTTTTGAGAAAACGACGTAATTTTCTCACACAAACCAATGACGTACCAATCAATACCTGCTCACAAGAGAAGATAACTCTGCAATACGCAAAGACATAATTGGAAACTTGGTGAGGAGTTGAGGTAGGTTCAAACGGGTAATACTCTAATCATTAGAGAGGTCGTCAACGGTTGCGGTGAGCTCAAATTGTTAATAATTATAATCTAACCATTAGAGTGATCATGAGGGAATTAGATGGTTTTAAAATGGAAATAATCGTACCACTAAAGAGGTTGTTGGGATTGATTTGGGCTCAAACAGGTAAATATCTAACCATTCGAGAAAGCATGAGGTGTAGAGGTTCGCTCAGGCTGGTGAGTATCTAACCATTAGAGACAGGAGTGGTTGACCATGACCAAACATGCCAGCGCTCTTCGTTAAAGGGAACAAATTTTAATCAAATTTAATATACGAATGCTATGTATAAGAGTTTATATCTCAAATGAGTTTGTGTTTCAGGGAACTAGTCGTTACTATATATGAACAATATTCACCAATCTAGCGACTTCGTTTGTTTACAGATTGGCTAAGGTCAAGGTCACCGGTAACATAATAGAAGTGTTGTTATGGCTCTACCTAACGTATCGCTTATCAGAATTTACTCAGACGTCATACACGAATAAAACGTCAAAATTTTAATGTGATTATTTTAATAAGATTGAAGCTGGAACTTGTGCGTTAGTAAGCCGTGTTGCTATGCCACATTGACGTATTGTCGAAGACTCTAGAGGTATAGCGTTCCAATGCAGTATATTGACTTACGCTTGTTTGGGAGGGACTTATTTTATCGAAGTGGTTTAAATTGAAAACTAATGACCTAATGATAAGATTGGTAAATTTTAGTATAAAGAGAAGGTAAAAAGGACTTGTTCTTAATTTGAATTACCAGATAGCAGATAATCACAATCTAAGGTGTTACCTTGTCAGCGCCAAGACGGGTCTCAATGTGAACCGGCCATTCAACAGACTCATCCGAGAGGTCCTTCAACGACAGGTAAATTCATTGTCAACTTCTATGGCAATATACGGTATAACATTATTTTCACCTTTATAAAACTATGTAACAATATTGACTATTTTTGTTACTCTACTGCTAATTCAATTTAAAAAACAACACCATATAACAATGTTATCCAATATTTAACAATGTTTAATAGTTTTTTCAACTTTTAAAACATTATATAACATTGTTTTCAACTTTGTCAATACTATGAACAATATTGTCATCTTTTATTGCCGTACTTTTATTACAGTTTATATTGGTATTGCCAATTTTTATTTCTACAACACTATATAACTATATTGTCCAATTGTACAAGGTTTAATAGATTTATCAGTTTTAGAAACAATATATAACAGTATTATCAAATTTATAACTATATCTAATAGTATGTACTTTCACGACAAAACATATAAATAATGTGAAATTTTATAACAAATAAGGTAATGTCAACTTTGTTGTAAACTGAAATAACAGCATAATACTATTGTGATTTTTTGCAAGTTACTAAACAATATCGTTAACTTCATGTAAGAAGTTACAGAATTTTCAGCTTTGTTGGCAACGGTAAAAAAAAGTATCACAAAGTTATCAACTTTTGTGACAACAGGTTACAACTTTGTCAGCTTTGTGAAGACATTTGACATAAATCTACAGTTTTGTCCATATTTGTTTATATCTATAGTATTCTCCTCATCAGTGATTTTCGACTTTCTTTACTCTGTTGGACAGGCTGCTGAATCTACCGAGGCGACGTCATTACAACTATCTCAACCAAAAGAAACACAACCCACTGGCTGTTTGGACTGTATATTGAGCTGACACAATAGAAAACCCGCCACATTTCATCCTCAAACTCAGTTACCAGCACAGACGTACACAACTACTGCAGAAACACTGTTTTTCTACTGGTCACAGAACTCCGACAGTATCTTCTCATACTGCCAGAGATTACCCCACATAACGCCAGAGGAGCTTACCCCTCATACCGCCACGGGAAACTACAAGAATTTCAGGAACATTGACATTTTTGTTGTACTTGTCAAAAAGGAAATGGTTGTATACTGCAGTTTCATAACAAATCGAATTATATAGAGTTACAGTGAATAGTATATAAATATATCTTGTATTAACTATTTTTTCTTTGTCTCATACCAAATACTCAAATCTGATTGGTCGAAAAAATCTTTTAATTTTTCTATCAAAATATATAGAGTTACAGTGAATAAAGTACATATTGTTATAAAACTTTCTAAGTAGGAGTTTAGGTCTTTTACAACTCTGTTCAACTTTTCAGATGATGCAGTGTTGCAAAGAATAGAAATATATAGGGTTACAGTGAATAGAATTTACATGTTGTTACAAAACTTTTAAATTGGGAGTTTAGAACATTGACGACTCTGTTAAACTTTTCATTGTGAATGGTTAAATATCGCATTGTCATAACAGATATAAATGTATAGGGTTACAGTGAAAATGATATTGAGCGATAGCAAATAAATTTGCCATACAAAATGTGCGGAAGTTCGAATACCATACCAGTACTGTACCATTTACTCATTCGAATGGATACAGCTCATTATTGATCGCCACTCGTTGGCTATCCCCGATAATATATGTACAGTGTAGCACGAGTGTTTAATACAGTGCATGTTATTGTTTATCTAACGATCTCAGTAATTCAATTTCTCAATGCATTAATATTTATATATGTATACGGTACAGATATGTGTGCATACCGTTGTATCTCGCTGTTATCTTGTATTACTCCTTCCCATCCACAGAGTGAATATTTGTGTATACGTGTGTTATCTCGGAAGGTCGCCACTTGTGTTGATAAATCAAGGATTGTTCATAAATAGACATTGTTACATCACACCTAAATATGTTTTCGATATAAATGTTTATAATTCAATAAAGTTGAAACATTTTAAATTTATATATCGTTTTAAATATGTGAAAACATGTATGTTTACAGGTTGGTAAATAGGACATTCAACATCATAACTGGTAGCCGCTAATTCTATATTATATTACATGTGTAACAACTAAGAAATATGAGGGGAAATCACTGCCCTTACTGGCAAGCTAGCTATTCCAGTGATGGGGTATAATCAGGGGACCCGCTAACTAGTTCAGCAACGTCGAGCGAGGTCAGTAGCTGGATGGGTGATCGGCCGCACGTTACATTTGGTGGCAGCGGTGGGATTCTGTGTGATCATGTACATGTAAGGCCAGTTCCCGTTGTTTAGGGAAGGTGCATTGATACATAGGGAGGACCTATTGGATGGGTGACCGACCGTACGTTAAACATATAAATACTATATAATGCATGCGACATGCCCTGTTTGTGCCTTGAAACCGTGATCACCAGCGACTTTTGACAATTATACCACATCTACCTCCTGAAAATGGGTTTTGATATTATATTGGTCAAATTGCTTAGTTCTTTCTTTTAAGGACGTGCCACAATGTGTTGTGTATGTGTACCGGATGCACGGTATATTGGTGGTTTTGCTATCTCCTTGTGATAGCGCGGATTCGATTCCGACGTTATAGTGCTACCTCATTGAAATACCATGCCGAAGGCACACAGCACAACATTCCACCCGGTCACATTATACTGACAACGGGTACACCAGTTATTGTCATTTCCCCAAATGCTGAAGAAAGTTAAGCAAGGAATAACAACTACCATCTTAAGGACTTTGGTATGTCTCGGCCTGGGGACAAAACCCGTTGCCTTCCTCAATTGGGCCAATGTTCAAAGCCAAACGTGAGATATTGCCAAACAATTTGACAAGGCGATAGGAAATAAAAGGTACCTAGAAGTAGAGAAAAATACAAAAATCCCAAATATTGCAATGGATGCAGCAGATTTATTTTGGTCGCTTTTGTGTTACCAAGTAGAGGGCACAAAAAGGAATCCCCAATTCTGCAGGGGGTTCCCTCATTAGTCGCCTCTTGCGATAAAATACAGTGTGCGACATCAGGTATGTTCCTTTCTCGATCCCCAACCTGCAGGGATAGCAATTTCAAGGATGATAGTAAAGATGTTTCAAAGAATTATATTGCCGCACGAACATAATTTATAGTTTGATAAGTCTAATTGTGTGACTGTATACAGTATTTCTGTACTATTTATAGTTTGATAAGTCTAATTGTGCGACTGTATACAGTATTTCTGTACTAATGCAGAGGTTTTGCAATTTAGACCAATTTTGATATCAGTGTGAATAAAATATTTAACAACTATATGTTACAATTATCTATCATGAATCTATATTTACACATTTGACCCATATTACCTCAAAAGTTTGTCAAGGTTGTTTACCCTTCATCGAGGCATATTGGACACATATCGTTATTATAGGCTTCGTGTATCTTTGGCAGACATCTGATTTTTTCAACACATCTGACAACTGATACAACGTTCCTTAAAAAAGAATCATGACAGTTTTTCATCTAAAGTACCTCATCAGAGCAAACCGTACTAAAATACGATAAATTACATTATGGATCCCTACAGTAAGTCATAATAATTAAAGCTTTCAACATATATCAATGCAATGTTTCATCATAAGTGGTATTCCTTTATCAGAGCATTTTATCATTTTTCTACACATAAGACTTTAGAAACTGTAATGTTCTTTTAACACGTTTAACCCTGTGACCTTGAAGGTGGGACAAAAGGCAACATGTGCCGAGTTTGGAGGCGTCGCTATTGGTGTTCTTTAGAACAAGTTGAAAATCTCTCTCCCAGGAAGCCACCAGCCAAATAGGAATATTCTATACCTTTTAGTTCTTCAGAAGAAGTCATTTTTAGCGTTCGACATATTTGACCACTGTGACCTTGAAAGTAGGTCAAGGTCATTTTCGTTCTCAAACTATGTTGGGCTCAATCGCAGGAAGCCATCAATCAAATATGAAAATTCCATACCTTTTAGTTCTTCAGAAGAAGTCGTTTGAAGTGTTTGACACATTTGACACATGTGACCTTGAAAGTAGGTCAAGGTCATTTTCATTCTCAAACTTTGTTGGGTTCCATCCCAGGAAGCCATCAGCTAAATACAAGAGGCCAAAGGGCCTTAGCGGTCACCTGAGTTAAATCATAGGTACTGGTAGCTTTATTTTATTGTTTAGATGTGATGTGGAAATCAGCTTGTAAACTAAGTGAAATGCAATACTTGTCATGTCATCAAAGGATAAGAATTTGAAAACAAGAGGCCCAATGGGCCTGCATCGCTCACCTGGTATTAATCTCACACTTGTAACCCTATAAGTGGACTAAAAATACAGTTACAGGCAAAATATCAGTGTTTCATTCATAAGAACCTATTAAAAGATTTAAATATATGACACCTGTGACCTTGAATGTCGAACAAGGACATTATAATATTAGGTTGAACAGAGTTTATATTCTTCCAACCCAGCATGCTTCTCGAAAAATATCATTACCCTGGACCTTTTGGTTATACAGAACAAATCATTTTAAGATTTAAACATATATTGACCACTGTGACCTTGAATATGGGCGAAGGTCATTCACTTGGTAGTCCTTCATCCCAGCATGTTAATGGCCAAATATCATCACCCTTGGCCTTTTGCTTATTAAGAAGAAGTCATTCAATGGTTTTAAACATATTTGACCCTTGTGACCTTAAAATATATATGTCAAGGTCATTCATTTGAACTTGGTAGTCCTTCATCTCAGCATGTTACTGGCATTATCCTAGGCCTCTTGGTTATTCAGAAGAAGTTGTTTAAAGGTTAAGAACATATTTGACCCTGTGACCTTGAAAAAAGATGAAGGTCATTCATTTGAACAAACTGTATAGCCCTTCATCCCAGCATGCTACTAGCCAAATATCATCACCCTAGGCCTATTGGTTATTCAGAAGAATTTGTTTAAATGTTTAAAACACATTTGCTCTCTGTGACCTTGAATTAAAGTCAAGGTCATTTATTTGAACAAAATTGGTAGCCCTTCATCCTAGCATATTACTGCCCTAATATCATCACCCTAGGCCTCTCGGTTATTCAGAAAAAGTCGTTTGAAGGTTTTAAACATATTTGACCCCTGTGACCTTGGATATAAGTCAGGGTCATTTATTTGAGCAAACTTGGTAGCCCTTCATCCAAGCATGTTACTGGCCAGATATCATCACCCTAGGCCTCTTGGTTATTCAGAATAAGTTGTTTAAAAGATTTTAACATATTTGACCCATGTGACCTTGAATATAGGGCAAGGTCATTTAGTTGAACGAACTTGGAAGCCCTTCATCCAAGCATGTTACTGGCCAAATATCATCATCCTAGGCCTCTCGGTTATTCAGAAAAAGTTGTTTAAAGATTTTAATAATATTTGACCCCTGTGACCTTGAAAGTGGGTCAAGGTCATTTATTTGAGCAAACTTGGTAGCCCTTCATCCCAGCATGTTACTGGCAAACTATCATCACCCTAGGCCTCTTGGTTATTCAGAAGAAATTGTTTAAATGTTTTTAACATATTTGACCCCTGTGACCTTGAATATAGGTCAAGGTCATTTATTTGAAAAATTCTAGCAGCCCTTCATCCCAGCATGTAACTGGCCAAATATCATCACCCTAGGCCTCTTGGTTATTTAGAAGAAGTTGTTTAAAAGATTTTAATATATTTGACCCCTGTGACCTTGAATATAAGGCAAGGTCATGTATTTGAACAAACTTGGCAGCCCTTCATCCAAGCTATTACTGGCCAAATATCATCATCCTAGGCCTCTTGGTTATTCAGAAGAAGTTGTTTAAAGATTTTAACATATTTGACCCCTGTGACCTTGAAAATTGATGATGGTCATTTATTTGAACAAACTTGGTAGCCCTTCATCCAAGCATGCTTCTGGCCAAATATCATCCAACTAGGCCTTTTGTTACTGAGAAGAAGTTGTTTAAAGTAAAAAGTTGACGCTGGACGGACGACGGACAGACGACGGACGCCGCATCATGCCATAAGCTCACTTGGCCCTTCGGGCCAGTTGAGCTAAGAATGGTAAATGTTTCCTTTGGGGCCTCGCCCTAGCCCCTGTGGATCGGGCAGCAATTCTAATTTTACAATGTAATACCCTCATACCCAAAGATGATTCTGACTAAGTTTGAGTAATTTTCTACTGAAAATGGATAAGATATACCCAAAAGTGTTATTTCCCTACATAAACTATAGTAAACTTTACCCCCTCCCCATGGGAGAACGGATAGCTTGGGGGTCCTCAAATTCACAGCTTAAACAAGAGGCACAGAGGGCCTGTATCGCTCACCTGAATATCTAAGCCATCATGGCAAAATATTCTCCAAATGAGATCCAAGGGAATATGCCAGACCCCAAGGCCAATCCTTGTAGCATAGCTATATTAGATTTTTCATGCCCAGCAATTTTATGTATGGTTATGGGGTGGGGATCTCAGACCCCAGGATCGATTCTAATATCCTGACTGCA